TCTCTCTCTCTCTCTCTCTCTCTCTCTCTCTCTCTCTCTCCCTCGCATACACACTCACTCACTCTCTGCAACTTTCCCCTCTTGATTCAATTGCTGTCGCTTTTCTACACCAATTGAGACATAATGGAACACGATAGAAGCCGCAATGAAGTGATAACGTCAAAATTGAAAAGAAGGCGAGAAGAAATTGGAAAGAGTCCAAATTTGCGGTCAACGAGAAAATCACCTTTTTCTGCTAATACATGTAATAGGAACAAAGTTTCAATGCATTTTTGTCTTTAGCAAAGTATTGATATTGTCTCTTGTCTTTCGGTTGGGTTGGCTAAAGTGACGGAGAAAGCAGTTTCTCGACAAAGGTGATTTCCTCTTGTTTGCTCTCTCTTCTTCGCTTTTGCGTTTTATGCTTTCTTTTAGCCTTTATTCCAAACACACACAGTCTCTCTCATTCTCTCTCTCTATCTCTCTCTCTGTCTGCCTCTCTCTCACACCTGTTATGCCAATTAAGTACATTTTTCAGTGTAGATTTTCCGAAAAAAACGTTGATTCCTTGAACACTGAAGTTTGGAAGTCACCAAACTTTGGCTGCCTTTTTCTTGCTAATTTTACCTCTGACACCAGGTGCCCAACACCTTCTACAATCGTAAATGTCTCGATTTTTATTCAAGATAGGTGAATATCTTTGTCATCTATAGCAAGATAAACGAACAAGATTTAAAAGGACACCAATACTTCCATATGACCCAAAAAGCTAACGAGCACCTGATTCCACAGTGTTGTGATACATAATTTTAAAGTATGGTTCCAACGCCCCTATCAACAAGACCGTAAGGCCATTACAAGTTTTTGGCCCCAAATTGGAACTCCATTGCCCAGGAACCTAAGCAAGAGAAACAAGAAATCTTAATATGTTTAGCCTAAGGATTGATCGATACAATTTTGTTCAAAATTCTTAGTTGTGGTGAGTAGGCATGTGCAAATGTGTACTGTTTTCACTGTGCCTTGTATGTAACTTATGGCTGAGAAGGCTCTTCCTTATAACATCATTATGGCTGAACTGATTGTCTTGTGCATATGAGATGTTTTTCTTACCAACAATTTCAGGTAATGCTTTTTCTTGCATACATTTATTGGAAGAGCATCAATAGCACAGGAAGGCGAAAATATTGACTCAAATTCAGTGATTACTACAAGTGTTACTAGCGTGCTCTTTCTGTTAAAATCCCAGTCACAATCGTATGTACTCCTGCACCTCACATCCCTCCCTCCCCTTTTTTCTCTTTCTCTGATTCACACCACACAATCATCTCTAACCCCTATTCCTTTTCTCCCACCCCCCCTCTCTCTCTCTGTCTCTCTCTCTCTC